GGCCACGCGGCGGCCGCGCCGGCCAGCGGGCCGCGGCCGGCGGGATCGTCGTCCGCGATCCTCCACAGAAGCAGCGCCGCATGCTGCTGAAGCTGTGCATGCGTTTCCGCGTCTGGCCCTGCCTGAGGCCCCGCCCCCGCGGCCCCCAAGAGGTCGAGCAGCGGCCCAACTGCAACCCCCAGGTCGCGCGCCCCGTCCCTGCCATTGACGGCCGCAGCCGAAAGGACCTGCACCGCCGCACCGCGGACAGCCGGGTCCTGCGGTATATGCAGAGCGCCATGCGCACTTTTTGGTACGTGCCGCGAGCTTGCGCCCCTGCAGCGGCGCGACGTGCACGCGTGCCGCCCCACCGCTTGTTGACTGCAGGCGGATCGTCGTTCGCACCTTGTCGCACACGAGGGCGGCGAGCTTTGGGGTGACCTTGCGCTCGCGCAAGTGCTGCAGGCTGACGTTGCCCTCTGCGATCAGGGCGCGCGCGGCGTTGACAGCATCCTGCTGGCCGCCAGCCTTGAGCTGCGGCAGAAGCGCCGCGATGCGGTCGGCTGCCGCGAGGGCAACCATCGAGCTGCAAGACTCCAAGATCGTGGTTCACTCCATTATATCGGCGGTCTCATGCTGCTGAATGAGCACCAACCTCAAGCACGCGCGAAAGATGCATTGACCGCGTGATCTGCGGTCGACTTGAGCGAATTACGTGTCACGGTAGCGTGCACTACCGCGATATCGTTTGATGCTAGCTGAGTGCTTGCAACAGCGGGTGCAGGGCTGCCTGGTGAGCACCTACGCCTGTTGCTGCATGCCCCTCGTCACCATGAACGAAGCTGCGTGGCAGGTGGCACAGGCACGTGCTAATATCCGATCCAACGCACCACACTGTATGTCAAGCTCAACATACCCATGTGCTTGTGCTCATGAGGCGCCGCAATCATGGCACCCAAAACACCAAGGGTATCATGTATGCTGCCCTACTCTGGAGTTGCCGGTTGAAGTGCAGCTTGCACGCAGGGCAGTGTGCTGTTCTCGGCATAGGGTCACACCAGTGTTTGAACCGGTACACCTCTGACGCTCAAAATTCCCGTCTGCTGATCACCGCAGTTACAATTGCCCCCAGCGCGGTCACCGGTAGAACGCAGCCATGACGACCCGCCACACCTCCAGAAACGCGGGCAGCTGCTGCGGCGCTTCCGCCTTGACCGTGAAGCTCGCCTGGCGTGCCTCGGTGGCCACGACCATCTCAACCAGGAACAGCGCCCCAGTGCCAGCCTCCTGCCCATAAAAGTAGTACCTGCGAAGTTTTGAGCGCCGGTGAGAGCTCGGCACGGGTGTGTGTATGGTGACAAAGCTGTGTGGTGATGGCCGGGGCGCCCTTTGCGGTTCGTCATGGGACTGTGTGCTTTCTTCAAGTGTGCTGCGTGTGATTGTTGAAAGTGTGACTTATTGTCTTGACAACGGGACGCCGTGGGTCGGCAATTTGAACACTCCAGGGCACGGCCGTGAGAGAGGCAGTCTGCCGACTTGCCAGCGGGGGGCTGGCGGATGAGCGCCCTGGCCCGTGGCTCGAGGGCAGAGAGGCCGCATGCTCACTTGTACGCGGGCGGCTGGCCCCCGCACGCCATCGTGTGTATGTTGGCCTGCGCCACGTGCGCGCAGAAGTCCCTGTGGTTGTTGGACGCCAGCGCGGCCACCTGCGCATATGTACGGGCACAACGGGTGGAGGGGGGTTCGGCGCGTGCAAGCCCGCGGCCCAGCCGTCAGCCCGGCCCGACCAGCGCCCCCGCCCACACCCGTTGCAACAGCCACTCGTGGGGTTGGGCTGCCTCCATGACGGATTTCCTCTAGTCATCTATGCAGCGCAACCAGCAAAAACGTCGCACAGCCGGCCTCACCGTGGCCATGTTTAGGGTATCCACGTACTGGTGCGCCGCCCCCAGCCGCTTCCACTTCTCCTGGAACACCCCGGGCATCACCTTGGCCGCCGCCGCCAGCGACAGCCCCTGCGGCGGCTGCGCCGCGGCCGCAGCGCCACCGGTCCCAAGGTCCCCGCCAAGCAGGCTGTCGAGGCCGCCGCCAAACGCGGCCAGCTGCTGCTGCTGCTGCTGCGGCTGGGCCGGGGCCGGGGCGCTGTACTCCGCCTCTAAATCCAGCAGGCTCCCCCCAACGCTCCGCTGCTGCGCCGCCGCGCCCACCGCCGCCGCCGCGCCGCCTGCTGCCGGCGCGTCGTCGTCCAGCGAAAGCAGATCCCCCTGCGCCGCCGCCAGCAGGCTCGTCTCCTGGTCCCCGCCGCCGCCCCCGCCGCCGCCGCCGCCGCCGGCCGCGCCGCCGCCGGCCGCTGGGGCGTCGGCGGCGGGGTCGTCCTCGGGCGGTTGGTGGTACTGTGAGGCCTCAACGAAGGAAGAGGCTGGCTGCTGGTAGATCACGCTGAGGCTGTTGAACTCCTCAAAGATCTGCTCCTGGGCCTGACGAAGTGACGGGGAGATGGAGTGACGGAGTGACGCAGAGATGCATGGATCAATATGTCCGACAATAACAGGGGTCCACGACGCAGGGAGGGGAGGAGGAGGGAGGGAGGGAGCGTCCGGCCCGCCGCGACGGGCGGCGGCAGCAGCGCATGCGGGCGGCGCCTCGCCGTGATGAGCGCCGCTACTGCCGCCTCGGCGTCCCCCTGCGCAGGGCTTTGCCCCCTGGCTGCGCCGGCTCCCGCCGCCCGGGCTTTCACGCGGCGCCCTGGGCCGTGGGCAGGGGGTCGTGACTAGGGCGTGGGGCGTGCGGCCCCACCTCTGGGGACTGGTCCTCTGTGAAGTGGTACATGGCCTCCTCTGGCGAGGAGATCACCTTCTCGGCCGCGCTCACGTCATGCCGCAGCAGCCTGGAGGGCAGCAAAGGGGCGCAGCGGGTGTGGAAACGGGCGGAGCAGATTCAGGGGTTGACAAAACGGCCTGCCCGGTGCTGGCGGGGGACGGCCGCGGGGGCAGGCAGGGTAGCTTGCTGCATAGGTGGGCGGCAGAGGTGTGCGCTTTGGCGCAGCATCAGAGCTAGCGCGCCGATTCAAGAATCAGACGACAAGCCTTTCTCTCGCTGTCTCCAAGCGTGCACCACGGAGCGATACGCATACACACATGCATGTACAGACATGCACACACGCTGTTGCATGCATTTGCAGGCGTGTACGTGCACGCATGCACACATGGGCACACACGGGCACACACGGGCACACACGGGCACACACACACACACACGCACACGCACACACACACACACACACACACACACACAAACACACACACACACACACACACACACACA